AGGCGCCCCTGTTGTCTGTTTTTATCTAAGAAAAGCTTGAAAACTCAAAGTACTTGCAGTGGGAATTAGGTTTATTTAAGACTTTTCTGTTCAAGTTCTGGTCAGTAGGAAATAAAGCTGTTGACAAAAAATACTGTGTACTTAAAAAAGCTGTTTGGAGTTTATATCATATGATTGTTCTGGGGCCGTCTCTTCTATCTAGTTTTTCACACTCTATCAAGATTGTTTGGGTTGCACATGGTGGAAAATCTGCCCCAAACTGGTTAAACTAAAAAAAACAACTATAGGTTTATGTAAGTGAACAGTGCAAAAGTATATTTAGCTTTAAGCACAGCTTGATCCATGTCTCAAAGCCATCAGTTTCTTTCAGCTTCCTCTGGATTCTTTAGGCTCCACATGGTGATTCTCCTGGCAGTAATAGCCTTACACCTTCATTTAGTTTCACGCTTTCCTGCCTTCAAGCTCAGTACCAAAGAGAAAGCCTGTGTACCAGCTTTCCCAGCAAAAATTCTGAGATTCAGTCTGATAAAACCACCTTCATGGGCCCAGTCTTCAATCACTGTAGTTTGGGGGTGGGATATGCCCTTAAACCAACCTAAGGATTACTTTTCCTGGAGCTGGGGATGGGGGAGGACTAACTGCCTAAACCACATACAGGACTGATGTTAGAGGGAAGCGTGGTTTTCCATAGAAAGCGTGGGATACTGTTTGTTCCTAAAAAAGAAGAGAAATCGTGCTGCCCATTAAACCACAAGTTTCTTCTCTCTCCTCCATTCTGAGATTTTTTTTTTTAAAGGTTTTATTATTTATTTGACAGAGAGACACAGCCAGAGAGGGAACACAAGCAGGGGGAGCAGGAGGGGGAAGCAGGCTTCCCGCGAAGCAGGGAGCCCGATGCACTGGGATCATGACCTGAGCCAAAGGCAGACACTTAATGACTGAGCCACCCAGGTGCCCCACCTTTCTGAGTTCTTGAGAAACTGTAAACCCATCATTTTCAGTCACCTCTTTCTCCCTAAAAGGAGGGAGGCGGGGGAATAGGGAATAAATAGCTGAAATAGACGGCACCAAGAAGGGAGTATGGTATGGGGCAGGAAAGAGGGAAAGCATAATTATAAGACTTTCTCAGCTGATGCTCCTGGTCAGTCTGTCAGAAGTTTTAAAAAAATGAGGAAAGAAAGGATTCATAAACATACATATTTAGTTCCCTCCTGTTTTCCAGCCCTGAAGACTAGTAATTGTCTTGTATAGGCTATTTGCCTAAAAACATTTATGTGACCATTTTTATATGCTTTAAGTTAATTTCTGATGTGCCTGGCCCTTTTATCACAGACTAATGTTCTTTACATATTAGGTAGATTAAACTCCTATACCTAGTAAGGTTGTAATTCAGTTAATAAATTCTTTAGAACTTAACATTTTCTGTACTGTCACTTTAATTTAAAAACAGTTATTTCTAACTTAAGCAAATCAAGTAGACATCTTCTTCATACAGTTTGCTTTCACCAATCTTTTTTTTCTCACCTGCCATTTTTCTTTTATTTTTTAAAGATTTTATTTCATTGTTAGCACCTGTGAGCCAATGGGGGGGAAGGGCAGAGGGGAGGGAGAGGGACAAGAAGATTTGGTGCTGAGCATGGAGCGCTACACGGGGCTCTATCTCAACCCTAAGATCATGACCTGAGCCCAAACCAAGAATGGTATGCTTAACCGAATGAGCCACCCAGGCGTCCCTCACCTGCCATTTTTCTATACCAGCAGTTCTTAAACTTCACCTCAGGATCACCTTCACAGAATTCAAGGCCCTCCTCCTCCAGAGTTTCTGATTCACTAGCTCTGGGGTGGAACTAGAGAATTTGCAAGTTACCAAATGATCCTGAAGCTGCTGGTCCAGGAAACTTTGTTTCAAGAATCTCTGTAATCACTTGTCCCTGCCTCTGATAATTTCTGTCACTCCTCCCTGAAGACTTCTTTGATCTATCCAAATTGATCCTTCAATTTCTTTTTAAAATGAATATACCTATGGTAATTTCACTGGAACCTTAAATTTCTTCTATCTACTGGATGTGGCCCTAATTAAATTATAGGATTTTCCAAATAGATACAGTCATCCATTTATTTTGTTTGTGCAACAACAAACATTCACTGGACCCAGTGAATACTCAGTAAATGTTGCTGGCAACATCTGTACTACTGTTAGAAAATTTCATTACGTATCTGTCTGTATCTAAACTATAATTTTTAGATGAAGTAATTTGGTGTTATCCTAAGTTTAATATTTGATCTCAAATGACCATCATTACATTAACTGTGTAATAACTGGAATAAAGAGAAAATGGATATGGTAAGTTGGTGGATTTGAGAATATTGGTATAATTAGATTTCCTTTAATATCTCCTCTGTAAGATAATTTCAGTTAATCTGTAATGAGCATTAGCTTCAAAACCCAAATTTGTAAACTATATACTGTCACTATGAATCAAACAATAAAAGCAAGGTTATTGTATTAGCACTTATGGGCTTAACTCCTAGTAAGTTTCCATATAAATCATATGGAAAATAATCGTTCAACTCTCTTACCTATCATAGTTGTAAAATTAGAAAAAAAATCTAAAATGTCTAAAATGCTTTAAATGTCAGTTGAGTACCTTCTGAAAAGTAAAACTATAAAAAGTGTTCAGTGGTATGCTGATGCCTCACCTTTGAAATGCATCAAAAAAGAAAATGGATTGATGAATGAATATGTAGTAAAGCACATATAAAGCAAAATGGTAAGAATTACAGAATCTAGATGTTGAGAATGTGGCTAGTCACTGAACAGTTTTTCAGCTTTTTTTGAAAGTTTGAAATTTTTCATAATAAAATTTTGGGAAAAATAACCTTAACACTATCTAGAATTTATGGGGAATATAGATAGGTATACAAGTATTTGCATTGGATTGAAATATGAAATTGCCATTTATATAGGTCAAAAGCAGACAAATACAGACAATTTGGTTCAACCTAGTATTAAAGTTGTTCTGAGTAGATAGATTTTTACATTTTACTTTTTTCCTGATGACTGAAATTGTCTTTATTCAGTTCACCTTAATACTGATTAATCATGCTAATCTAGACATACTTAGCTACATACGCTCATTGTTGAAATGAAAAACTTAGAACGCATCTCGGTATTCTGCCTATGTGCTATTACCAAAATTATATATCTCATTTCCCAGAAGTATAGAAATATATTTACAAAATTACCTCAGTGTGGGTCACATACATACTAACACCTCAGTTAATCAAGTCTGTTTGCTCTCTACTTGTCAATTGAAGTTTTGTGGAAAACTTCATAGATTATATATATCCCAGTCAAACCGTGGATAGTGATGATAGTTGCACAACAATATGAATGCACTTCATACTACTGAATTATACTCTTAAAAATGGTTAAAGTAGTAAATTTTATGTATATTTTCCCACAGTAAAATTTAAAAGATGCAGAGGAGGAGGGGGAACTTTTGGATAACAATAGGATAGTATGAGAGCCCAGACAGCTTGGCCGAGGTGGGTCAGAGTGCTAAAGAAACACTACCTACCTACCATTTTTACCTAAGTCATATGAAACCTGACTGACTTTGAAAGCTGAGTAAAATCACAATTTTGGATGTTGTTGCTATGAATTCAGTTAAGCTTTTTTCCCTATTCTAATTGGAAAATTTTCATTGGAATACACAAAATTTATGTTGTTCTACAAGGACTGGAGACCTCACACATCTATAGTACCTGATTATATAGTCTTTCCCATTGAGCATAGTTAAACTAGTTGTTTAACTAGAAGCCACTTATCTAATTAAATGAAAAGTACACAATAGGTAACAAGCCTTAATTAGCAGTTTCCAATTGTACAAACTTTAATAGGGGAGGAGTGAATGGTCTCACTGAGTTAAATTGTATTTGCCCCTAGTGGAAATTAGTGTCAAAGCTTGTGTCAATTGGGATAAAAAATAAAGAATTGCAACCTAATCCCACAAGAACAAATTAGACTTAATGAGGTACTCTTTTTTTTTAAGATTTTTTTTTGCGGGGGGGGCGCCTGGGTGGCTCAGATGGTTGAGCGTCTGCCTTCGGCTCAGGTCATGATCCCGGGGTCCTGGGATTGAGTGCCGCATCGGGCTCCCTGCTAGGCGGGGAGCCTGCTTCTCCCTCTGCCTCTGCCTCTCTCTCTCTCTCTCTGACTCTCATGAATAAATAAATAAAACATTTTTAAAAAGATTTTTTTTTTTTTAGGGGTGCCTGGGTGGCTCAGTCTGTTAAGCATCTGACTCTTGATTTCATCTCAGGTCATGATCTCAGGGTTGTGGGATCAAGCCCTGTATGGGGCTCTGTGCTCAGTGGGGAGTCTGCTGGAGATTATCTTTCTCTGGGAAAGGGAGGGAGAGTGGGGGTGTGAAGAGGGGGGGGGGGGGGAGTCCGACCCCTTTGTGCTCTTTTTTAAAACTTAATGATCTTTCTCTCTTCTCATAATCATACTTTACCAGGAAGAGAAATGTTTTTTTTTCCTCAATTGAAAATTGAATGAGACCATAGTGAAATTATTTGTGTAATACTTTAGTTTTCCAAGTTGAAGAGGTTAAGAGGTTAGCGCTGTTGAAGTGGGGAAAATACTGAATTTCACATATTCCTGTGCTTACCACTCCTCAAAGAATTATTAGGTCTTACAAAACAAAAGCAGCTTGAGGGTTGTCATTTTGTGCTCTGATTCATAAGTGAAGAATCATTAGAAAGGTGGAGGAAATTACATAAAAACAAAATTCAGAAAACACAAGATTCTGCAGAAGAAAAGAAAAAGAAGAAACTCCTCTACTGGAAATGTATTGATTGTTTTGTCTCCTCAGTATTTAAATGTAAAGTAGAGGTTCTATGATATAAAATAGTAGGCTCATCCCTTTAAGTTAGAGCTACAATGGCAAATTAGGTTGTAATAAAGATAACATTATTTCTCTTTTAATTTACAGAAGTTGCTGGGTATGTTTTGCCACTGATGAAGATGATAGAACAGCTGAATGGGTGAGACCATGCAGGTGCAGAGGATCTACAAAATGGGTTCACCAGGCTTGTCTACAGCGCTGGGTAGATGAAAAACAAAGAGGAAACAGTACAGCCAGAGTGGCATGTCCTCAGTGCAATGCTGAATACTTAATAGTTTTTCCAAAGTTGGGTAAGCAGATCCTTAAAAACAGCAGAGATGTATGTGATGTTATTTTACATAACTCTATGATCTCAGGTTTATTTTAAAGTGACTCATCTGTTTGTTTCTTTGTAAATTTCTCTATTCTCATTCTGTTGTTTCCTCTCTAAATGTTATTTGTTTTGCTAACAGCTTACATTATCCTTAATATATCTTCAAATCCACCCATTTGTGTGTTAAATGTTTTTATTTTGGTTGAGTGGATAAAAGACTTGGACATCTGATTCAGCGGATAAAATCAAATAACAAAGCCATAATAAAACTGACCAAAAGAGCCTTATTCTCTGGAGACCATTGATGTAGGAGAAAGAAAACAACAATGTGTTCTTTCTAATACTTATCCTTAATTCTTTATTAAGGAATAAAAGTAAGGAAGTTAAAGACTTTATGTTAATCTCATCTTCGGAATCCAATTTATGTGGTTGTTCTTCATGAAAACTGCTTTCTTCTTTCTGCAACTTGGTAGGCAAGGAATAACCAAAGATCTTTTAGAATGGGGTTAGCATTGAAAAAAGTAGAGCACACTACTTAAAGGAAGCTGTAACTAAGGCTGATATTTAGTTACCATGTTCCATTACAGCCATGTGATTGTGAACTGGTGTCTGTATTTGGTGTTTATGCCATACCAGTTGTTAAACATTTTTAATACCACCCTTGACTGTAATCAAGAGATATATGAAGGCACTTTGGGTTCTGGGAAGGTCAGACAAAGAATGACTTTCAGGGGGACAAGAGTTCAAGGAGAAATTTAAAATAATTATTAGATATGTGTTTTCTAGGTGCTGTACATTACTGAAATAAGGCCCTCTTTTAAAAAAAAGGCAACATAAATGCTGATAATGAAGTGTTTTTCTAATGTGAGACAGTTAATAATAAGGGGCAACAAAATTTCCTTGGTTGTCTGTATTTCTCTAGCATAATTCATAAGGAATATGAAGGAAGAAATAATAGCTTCTTATGAAAGGAAAGTAGTGTTTCTCAAATATTTAGAATTTGTGGACCACATGATGGGTCTTCATGTACACCACAGATTTTAGGTAAAGACAAAGTAATCCAAAAGTTGACCCTTGAACAACACAGTGGTTAGGGGTACTGACCGCCCCCCACGCGGTTAAAACTTCACCCACAGCAGGACGCCTGGATGGCTCAGTCAGTTAAATGTCCAACTCTTGATTTCCACTCAAGTCATGATTTCAGGGTCATGAAATCGAGCCCTGTGTTGGCTCTATGCTGAACCTGGAGCCTGTTTGAGATTCTCTCCTCCCTCTGCCCCTCCCCACTCATGTGGACTCGCTCTCTCTTAAAAAATAAAAATATTAAAAATTCATCTACAGTTTTTGACCCCCCTAAAACTTAACTACTAATAGCCTTACTGCTAATATAAACGATTCACACATATTTTATATATTATATCTATGATATACTGTATTCTTACAATAAAGTAAGCTGGAGAAAAGAAAATGTTAAGAAAATCATAAGAGAGGGGTGCCCGGGTGGTTCAGTTGGTTAAGCATCTGCCTTCGGCTCAAGTCATGATCTCAAGGTCCTGGGATTGAGCCCCACATCATGCTCCCTGTTCAGCAGCGAAGTCTGCTTCTCTCTCTCCCTCTCTCCTCTGCTCCTGCTCTCTCTCTCAAATAAAATAAAGTATTTTTAAAAAATCATAAGAGAAAATACATTTATAATGTACTTATTTTAAAAAAATCCACATATAAGTAGAGCCACATAGGCCAAACCATGTTGTTCAAGAGTCAGCTATAATATTAAAGCAGTATTCTAAAATAATTTAAACATCAGGAAAAGCAATTACTGCTGCATTCTTTCACCACACCTAGCTCACTAAAGTCACAGGTCTCATATTCAACTGTTTCTTTTCCTACTCTTCAGTTCTTCTGATAATCCCACTTTTCAGCTATAGGTTTTTGAGAACAGCAACAAGTACAGGATGATTCTGTTAGATGTTTAAATGGATGGATACAAAAATTATTGCAAGAATTCTCACTGAAAATTCCATACATTGTTAGATGAGGCACTGAGTTGACAAATGAATGGCACTCAAGAGTGAAGCTGAATATTTCATTTTGGAAGATGGTAGTGGGTAAATCTGTCCTTTTGGTTGTATTCAGTTCTAGGAAATAAATTTTTAGTCTAGTCTGGTAATATGATTTTTAGGTATACCTAATACTAAGACATTGATTTTTTTTTTTTTCCTACAGCAAGGAAAGAAAATGGGTAGATGTTGAAAAGGTCAGACTCTGTTTGGCTAAGCCTTTTGTATCATGATTTGGTCTTTATATTTTATCCTTTTTTTTTTAATATTTATTTATTTTAGAGAGCGTGCATGCACTTGTAAGCAGTGGGGAGGGATAGAGGGAGAAGGAGAGAGAAAATCTTAGGCAGGCTACACACCACCGTGGAGCCTGATGCAGGGCTCAGTCTCGCAAACCTGAGATCATGACCTGAGCCAAAATTAACAGTCAGACGATTAATCGACTGAGCCACCCAGGCATCCCTTCCATGCTGTTTTTAACACTGACTCAAGAACACAAGACTTACTGTCAAATGCCAGCTGTTGTCTGTAAATGGAGCCATGTGTGAATTAGCTTTCAGGTGCCATACCCTTTCTTGCTACACAGACGGCTAGCACTCTTGGCCCTGATCCCAGTATACCTTTTCAAGTCAAGTTCAAAAATAATTGTTGGTTAAAAGAAAATCCCTTCTCTATAGCATGTTTTCACTGATGATCAGTTAAAAGTTGCATATATTTCTTGATTTACATATTATGTAAATGCCAAGAGTTGATTCATACTCTGAACACTACTGGTTTCTTTCAGCCATAAAACAAAATATTTAAGAACATACATCTGTGATAGTAATTGTTCTTCGTTGCTGTGTACCAAACATATGATGTACTTTAGTGTCATCTGATGATAGAATTTTGCCAGCAGATTGTTCTCTCTTTTAGCATATTCATGATTAATTTTGCACTGACCATTTATACCTGTTTTTGTTAAAATAAGTTGAAGTTCCTTTGACTGCAGTTTTTAATCTTTGTTTTCGGTGACAAAATTCATAATGCAGGCTTTGATTGCAGGCTGGAGTGGTTGAAAATTATATGAATGTTTCAGTGGCTTCTTGTCCCTGTTTTATAACATTTCAGTCCCTGTTTAATAATATGTTACAGTACAGTGGGAACAAGGAGGTCTCCTTGTGCACACTAATCCTAATTCACTGGTCACAGCCCATTCCTAGATCACACTATTTTCACTCTGGATATTATACCATTTATCATTTATGACATTCTGAGTTAAATGTGTTTTTATCACTTTTACTCTTCAGTGAACATTTGAGGCATTGATTCTCTTTCTTAAATTTGGGATTTAACACATGATATTAACAAAATACATGTTTAATCAATGTAAACAGTGTGTGTAAACAATGTAAACATGATGTGAAGGTGTGTTAGCTGAAACAAACAGTCCCTCCTTAACTGTTCTTGTAGAGTATATGTGATCCTGGAAACATAACACTTAAGAACTTATAAGAATTTTCTTGAAATTCATTATTTTACTTTTCAAATTTGGGAAATGTTTGTGATCAAAATTTTTATTACTTTTTCATCAAATTGTTTGTAGACCAGTTAATATATTGGCAGGGACTACCTTTGGTCTCCAAACAACATGTGAGAGACACTGGCTAGACAAAGGAATATAAGAGAATATGCAGAGAGGAAGAGGTGATGGTTAACATTCCAGTGGGATAATCTCTGTGTAGCAAGTATTTTAAGTTTTATATGGATTTAAACTCAGTCTGGCTGGGTAGCTGCCAAATCTGCGTCTTTTCTAGTACTTAATGGTGGTCAGAATGGAGGGGTGGTGTGTGTTAATTATTGATAGGGAATATATTATGCTCAGTTATGAAAAACTTAGCAGACTCCTCAGACTTTCCTTCTTATCACTTTGTCACCCATCTTAGGGTTTGCTTTCTTCTTTCTGCTAGTGAGTTAGGCCAGTTGCATATATGCAACTACTTAAAAAGCTCAGAGTGTCCTCTGAGGGCCAGCAGCATTGGAGTCATCTGAGAGCCATTAGGAATGAAAAACTTACCCCATCCTCTTTGAATCAAAATCTGTATTTTTATGAGATCATCAGATATGTACATGTTAAATTTAAGAAGCATTGCTTTAAAACACGAAGAGAATACCAGCTGGAAAATGTTTGTCTTTTATTAAAAATAAAGCATTTCCATGAAGTTTAAGGTCAGGTAGTAATCTTGGTTAGCCAAACAGAAGAATTCAAAGGAGAGTATCTCAAGGGCAGTTCTTTTTTTTTTTTTTTAAGATTTTATTTATTTATTTGACAGGGACACAAGCAGGGGCAGAGGGTGAGGGAAAAGCAGGCCCCCCACCAAGCAGGGAGCCCGATGTGGGGCTCTGGGGCTCGATCCCAGGACCCTGGGATCATGACCTGAGCCAAAGGCAGACGCTTAACGACTGAGCCACCCAGGGACTAAGCCACCCAGGCGCCCCTCAAGGGCAGAGTTCTTGATTCCTAAGAGTAGCAGGGACTGATTCACATTAGCTTCTTTTTCCTTAATTTCTTTCAACAATATTTTGTAGTTTTCAGTGTGTAGGTCGTTTACTTTGTTAAGTTTATTCCTGAGTATTTCACTTTTTTTGTGCCTTTTTTAAATGGAATTTGTTTCATAATTTTATTTTCAGATTGTTTATTGTGAGTGTATAGGATGCAGTTGATTTTTGTATTTTAATCTCGTGTCCTAAAACTAGGTAAACTCTTTTAATGGTTCCGATAGTTTTTAAGCATTTTCTATATACAGGATCATGTTATTTGTCAATATAGTTTTACTTCCTCTTTCCTGGTCTTGATGCTTTTATTTCATTCTCTCGCTTTCATTCTCTGCCTAATTTCATTCTCTGTTGCAACCACCAGTACTTCAATGAAAGTGGTTAG